AACCAACAACTGCTGTCCCACAAAATCAATGGCAAAAGGCACAATGACAAATGCGCCAGCGACAAACGCATACGCACTACAATACAGACAGACCACATGGGAAGGATGATCTCACGCTCCACACAAGTTAGACTAACCGAGTTAATGTATCACTTATCACTAGATTGCCAGTCCTCAGCTTCTCCTATCCCAATGGGTCACCAGATTATATTACACAATCAATAATTACTTTGGAAAGCAAAGTTACACCTAACTTTGATGATGTGGTTTCAACCCGAGGTTGTCAATAACAATATCAATATTAAAAAGATATTGGAATTTACATGTATATTTATGGCCCTAATCATTAATTTGAGCCATTCAAGTGCTCTTGGACGCCGCCCTGCGTGAGGGGTGCTATAGAAATGCAAGTTGTTGTTGTTGATACTTATTAAACATTGCATTATTTCAGCATTAATCTGAAATGGAAGCTTTTTTTCCCCCGGAATAGTAACAAGGTACCTTATTGTTTAATGTAATAGACATGGAAAAGCTTTCTCCATCACAAAGTAATGCTAAATATTTATGAGAGCCCCTTATGGGAATTAAATCACAAGGTAATAACATTAACTGGATACCGAAAATAATTTGCATTTACATTTGTCCTTTAACTATATTATGACAAAAACATTGGTTACACCATGTGGAATGCAGAATTTACATTTAATACAAGCAAAGCTAATTCAGATAGACTTCCGTCATATTAAAACTGGACATCGAGCTAAAATTAAGAGGTAATATTTGGACTGTGGGTCAGGAGAGAGAACACCATTGATCGTGGTTTAAAAATCGGAAGAGAAACAACAACTTGCATTCATATAGCGCCCTTCATACGGGGTAGGGTCCCGGAGCACTTGACAGTGGCGGAGTCTGACCCCGAGCCGGGGGGGAGAGGGAGGGGGGAGGTGAACGTAAACACAATCAAAAAGGAAGGTCTTTAGATGGGATTTGAAAGTGGGGAGTGAGGGAAGGGCTGAGGCGGAGTGATTGAGGGAGAAAACATAAAGAATTCGGTATTCCATTACTAACAACCAACCAAGAGATTAAATGTTCATAAAAAAATTACTTATTTAAGGATGACAAATCACTGGAAAAAACCTTGATTAAAGCGCAACCAACAGAACTAAATAGTTCCTTTCTCCACACGGCTCTGGAAGTAGGAAATTGGTTGTTGGTCAATTGGCAGATCGCTTTTCCGGGGGTAATAATCCCTTCAAAATAATAATTTGATTATAATAATAATCCACAACTGTTTGTGGGACATCGCTGTGCGCAAGTGGCTGTCGTGTTTTGCCCACAAAATATACAGACAATTCATTTTACAATGTATTGTGTGAATATTGGACTACACTATCAACCAAGTCAGTGGAGTTCAGATACCAGAAGTTTTCCTCAAGCTGTTCAGTGCTCCAGTCTAAGCAACACCTGGGTTACTTTGTATACAACAACAACAAATTACATATGTATAGTGTCTTTCACATACAATGCTGAGTAGTGCAATATGAAAGTGCTAATCAAGCCCTAGAGACATTGCAGAAGAAAGGAGTGAAGAATGAGTTACAGTGTAAGGAATGATTAGTTAAACTAGGGATCTTCATCCTCAGAAAGAGCACTGTGATGATATATGAGATGCTTAACTACATAGAGAAAATAAACCTGGAACAAAACTGAGTCAGCAAGACAGAGTATGCGTTATAATAATAATCCTTGATACAGCGCCTTTTCACGTCTTTGAGACGTCTCAAAGCTCTTCACAGAATATATTGTAAAGTGAATTGACTGTGTATTTTGTGGGCGAAACGCAGCAGCCAATTGCGCACAAAAACGTCCCACAAACAGTCGTGGACTGAGTGACCAAATTATTGTTATAATTGTTTTTGAAGGAATTATTACCTCCGGAAAAGCAATCCGCCAATCGACTAACAACCGGGTTCGAGCTTAGGTTCTGAGCTGCAAAGGGGCAAGTAGTGGATAGACATCCCAAAGCCTGGTAGACAACACCATCATCAACAACAACAAATTACATTTGTAGAGTGCCTTTCACTTCGGGAGGACATCCCAAGGCGCTGGACAGTCAGGGAATAGACAGACATAGCAGCATTGCCATTATTTAAGAAACCAGTTGACGCTGAAATGATAAGAAACTAGTCAACATTCTGGAAGGTTCGAATGGCCGGAGGAAGTAATCGTCCAATCTTCAATTATAACTTTTTTAAACAAATTATTTTTTATTTTCCTAACGCTCAAATAAGAGTGCAACCATGTTGGCAAAACAATACATACTGTATTAATTGCTGTTTTTCTTTAAGTTACAAACATCGTTATTTGTTGTTTATCTACAAGGATACAATCACCACACTTTCCAGTAAAGTTCATTGAAGCACTTTAAGATAAGGCGATAAGGCACTCTGTCAAACCCAAGGATTATTATTATAAATTTAAGAGCATCATCAATTCTAAATTAGTTTAGGAGAGAAGAATGGTTCTGAGGGGATATGGGATATCCAGCTGGGTTAGACTCATAATCCTTACAGAATGTACAGATCTCTGCTGGATTGTCTAATAGTCACGCAAATGACAGGACAACGGTGGTCAGTGAGGAGACCTTTAATATAAATATACTGAAGTAACGAATATGCTGCTTTTAACCCTTTCCAGGAGCTTTGAAATATGACCCACTCAAAATGTGAAAATGTACCATATTCCATTTGCTCCCCAGTCTGTCTCCGAGTGCCTTGTGCCTTCAGCCACTACTCCCCGAAACTCTGGAACTCTCTTCCTCTACCCCTCCGCCTTGCCCCCTCTCTCCCTACTTTAAAATCCCACTTAAAGACCTTTCTTTTTGATCGTGCTTACGGTCACCTGCCCCCCACCCCCCTTCTCTCCCCGTGGCTCGGGGTCAGACTCCGTCATGTCAAGCGCTCCGGGATGCTACCCCACGTGACGGGGCGCTGTTTAAATGCAAGTTGTTGTTGTCACTCCCCACCCCCCACCCCCACCAGTTCATTTTACAGTAAGCTGTGGGAACATTACCACCTTGTCTGATGGTAATGGTGAATGCAGACCAGACTAGAGTTGTAGCAAATCAGCGTGCTAACGGAGAGGCGGACATTGCAATTTATCTCCAGCTTTTAATGTATACAACCCCATGTCATACTTATTCTAATGGCTTTCTAAGTGGTGGCGTGCAACTCAATTATTAATTATTAAAGCCGACTGGGACGTTATAGGCAGACAAACAAAGACTGCGGTGAGAATTGAACTGTCACACCATCACTTTGGAAAAACATACACAGGTTTATATGTATGTCCATGTTGACAAGAGTTTAAAATGATGGCTGGCTGATAAACACACAGGTTATTTAGTTTGCTGCACACACCTGTCAGAGTGAAGCTGCCTGGACTCGGGAGGTGACCGTAAGCACGATCAAAAAGGAAGGTCTTTCGGTGGGATTTGAAAGTGTGGAGGGAGGGGGCGAGACGGAGGGATTGAGGGAAGAGAGTTCCAGAGTTACATATTCCGCACTGGCCAATAACACGATACATTTTCCAATGGAATTAGGGATTTGGGTTCACCGCTAATCAATGGCCAGTTCTCTGGCAAGTGAGCGAGCACGAACTTCACGCCAACCCCAAGCGGATTCCATCCATTAACATCGCTCATCGTCGCTTTGCAGAGCGGTTAAGTCAAGACACAAGATTAAAAAATACTGATTTTAAAAATGTATTGTTCCTCTACAGAACGAAAATGATCTGATCCAATCCCAGGGCATCACTCTCTCTCTCTCTCTATATATATATATATCAATAACTGTTCATTCTGCTGTCAATGTCACAAAACACGGACTGTCTGTAATGCAATGTAATGCAGAGGGCAATGTCGATGGGTCACTAATACACACACACACACATCACGGGGTTCGCTCACAAACGCTCCCCTTCTCCTTCTATTCCTTCCCAATAAACATACATCACCACACACAGATGTTTCCAGCCCTCCCCCCCCCCCCCTCCACAGCGACCCCCCCCACCACCCCCATCACCCCCCCCCCCTCCCACAGCGACCCCCCCCCCACCACCCCCATCACCCCCCCCCCCCCCCCAGCGACCCCCCCCCCCACCCCCCCATCACCCCCCCCTCCCCTCCACAGCGACCCCCCCCCCATCACCCCCCCCCCCCCGCCGCTCCCCCTCTCCCTCACACAGCGATGCTGCATTCCGTCTGCAGACACAGCCCCGATCTCCCTGTGGGAGACAGAGAGGGGACAGCACGACCTCAGTGCAACCCCAACCCCCCCCACCCCATCCCCCCCCCCCACCCAGCCCCCCCAACCCCCCCACCCCAGCCCAGCCCCCCCCCAGCCCCCCCCACCCCACCCCACCCCAGCCCCCCCCCCCCCCCCAACCCCCCCCCCACCCCAGCCCCCCCCCACCCCAGCCCCCCCCACCCCCCCACCCCAGCCCAGCCCAGCCCCCCCCCCCCAGCCCCCCCCACCCCACCCCAGCCCCCCCCCCCAGCCCCCAGCCCCCCCCCCAGCCCCCAGCACCAGCCTCTCCAGGCAATGAAACAGGGATGGGGGGATGAACAATTTACATTGCACATCACACCGATGGCCTGGTGTGGGGGGTGGGTGGGGGAGAGGGATGAGGGTGGGGGTGGGGTGTGGTGTGGGTAGGGGTGTGGGAGAGGGATGAGGGTGGGTGTGGGTGTGTGTGGGTGGGTGTGAGGGCGTGAGGGTGGGGGTGTGTGGGTGGGGGGGTGTGGGTGTGTGTGGGTGGGTGTGAGGGCGTGAGGGTGGGGGTGTGTGGGTGGGTGTGGGGCTGTGTGGGTGGGGGGGTGTGGGTGTGTGTGAGTGTGTGAGGGTGTGTGTGAGGGGGTGAGGGTGTGAGTGAGGGGGTGAGTGTGTGTGTGAGTGTGTGAGGGGGTGTGTGTGGGTGTGAGGGTGAGGGTGATGGCGTACCTGGTGTAGGGCTGTGCTGGTGTTGGTGCTGGTGCTGGTGGTGCTGATGGCGAGCTCCCTGGTGCTGGTGCTGCGCCTCTCCGGCTCAATGACTAAGCTGACAGCGGAAAGCCAACCTCCTCCACAGGACCCCCCCCCCCCCCCCCCCCCGAGCCTCAGCTCCAATTAAAGCTGCAACGGGGGCGGGATATCCGCTGCCACACTGCAGCTCCGCAAACTGCTGTAGGGCTCCCACCCACCAGATGGGCAGGGCAGGGCAGGGCATGGCAGGGCTGGGCAGGGCAGGGCATGGCGGGGCTGGACAGGGGGGCAGGGCATGGCAGGGCAGGGCTGGGCAGGGCTGGCTGGGCAGGGGCTGGCAGGGGGCTGGGCAGGGATGGGATGGGATGGGCAGGGATGGGATGGGCAGGGTTGGGCAGGGCAGGGCTGGGCAGGGTAGGGCTGGGCAGGGTAGGGCTGGGCTGGGCAGGGCAGGGCAGGGCTGGGCAGGGATGGGATGGGCAGGGATGGGATGGGATGGGCAGGGCTGGGCAGGGTAGGGCTGGGCTGGGCAGGGCAGGGCTGGGCAGGGATGGGATGGGCAGGGATGGGCATGGCGGGGCTGGGATGGGCAGGGCTGGGCAGGACGGCATGGCAGGACAGGGCATGGCAGGGCTGGGATGGGCAGGGCAGGGCAGGGCAGGGCAACCACAGGTAACAGGGAAACAGCTCCTACACTCACTGCAGCCTTTGGTATATGCCCCCCCCCCCCCCCCCCCCCCCCCCCCCCCCCAGATCAGCCTTCTCTTGTTCACTACTGGGCATCATTGCCATTTCGGTTTCCTGCTTTATCTTTGTTTATTATTATTACAATAATCTTTGCATTTGACACAGAGCCTTTGCGACGTCTCAAAGAGCTCCACAGGACAGATATACTGTAAAGTGAATGGACTGTATATTTTGTGAGCGAGACAGCGGTGTCTGTCCCACCAACAGTCGGGGATTGAAGTGATCAAATTATTATTTTTTAAAATTTATTTTTGTCTCAAATCAATTACCACCTCCCAGAAAAGCGATCTGCCAATCGACTAACAAGCGGGTTCCTACGTACTGCTCGGTAAACAAGTGTGTGGAGTAAGGAAACTTACCCAACGTTTTACCGTGTCCGGCAACCGAACCTGGGTCCTCTTACAACATCAATAAAATGTAATGCAAACAGATTTCAGATCAATATTGGACTAAGCAGCAGTTGTACATATGAAAAATAATATTGCTTTCTGATACAATATGACAAAGTAGGGTTGAATTCGTAATTTTATGTTTGGGATTCAATCTTGTATTAAAAAATGAAATTAATTTAAATCAACGAATGGCATGAAATCCCAATCCTCATGTGATTTGTGACACTGTAGTCTTAGGGTATAAAACATAAGAATAATCGCAAAACTTTGGCTCATTAAATCCACGTTCGGATAATTGGTTAAATTGATGTATTTAGTTCAGTAGTGGTTAAAACCCACATTGGAATATGATGTGTTGTTACACCATTAAGAATATTTATACCACTTATTTTTTAATTATATTTTGCCATTTAAATTGGTGGTAAAATTACTGAGAACCTGGTTTCAGTCTTATTATCTCCACTGGTGCCTACTCAGGTGCCTGATACTGCCCCAATATAATATTTTCACTGATAACATTATTACTTTCAGTATTACCAAATAAATATGTTCCAATCAGCACCATATAAATAATAATTCATCTTAACTTTGATTTTCCAAAAGGGGTATTTAAGGTGACAGTCGTTTGTTAATTAAATGCTTCAAATTAATTCAGCTATGTGAGCAAATTGCTGAATAATCCATGAGATCATTTCAAATCTTGAGAAAGGAATAAGTAAGCTGGATATGTTAATTTGTCACTGATGTAGCAAGAAATAATTTCTTTATCGGATTGTATATAATTATAAGAAAACTTGCCTAATATTTCACCCTTACCAGGAGTTGAACCCAGTTCATCTCGATTGGGAGATGAGTGCTCTAACCAGTACGCTACAAGACTCCATATATAAAACCCTTTTGACACAAAGAATTCAATGATTGCTTGAGACTATTATTAGTTCAACTATTTGGATAATATATGCTCCAGGTTATGTGATTATGATTGAGCATGTCAGATTATTTGATTCATTGAGTTGCCATACATGGACAGTTGTTCTGTTTCACATTGATTTGAAGTGGAGTTGACAGATTCAAACAGCCAATTCCTTTGGTGTTTGAAGACTTTCGCTACAAACTATTAACTTGATGTACCAAATCCCTATTAACTATTGATTTGATGTACCAAATACATTCCTTTAACGTGGATTTCAGATTAATCATTTAAAAAATCATTTTATTATGTCATCATATCTGGACTACGTATTTTTGTTATAATTTTAATGTGTGAATTTCCAGTCTCCACAGATGATATAATTCTGAACTATGTTAAAGGGACAAATTGAATAAAACCAATATCAGAAATACCTGAGTTGTTCCATCTCACTATGCCTGGGAAGTATTGATGCGTTTTATTGACGTTGTTGCTTTATATGTCACACAATCCTTTTCAAAGTTGCTTTTCTTAAACAACCACAACAACTTGGATTTATATAGCGCCCTCCACACCGGACGACGTCTCAGAGCGCTTCACAGTAATGAATGGAGGGCGCTTCACTGAAAAAGCAGTGCAACACATTTTGTTTGTTTTCTTTGGTCAGTCAGGTGTCTGAGGCAGAAACCCATCATCGTGGCTTAAGAGTCTCCAAACCAAACCAAGAATTCCAGGCCTCCCCCTACACATGGAAATCCCAGAGAGAGATTGTTGGAATGGAATGCGCTCTCTCTCTCTCTCCCTGGAGGGATGCATCCTGCTTACCTTATTCCTGGAAAGTATTAGGCAAAGGATACTATAACATAACACATGTAGGAGCAGGAGTACGCCATTTGGCCCTTCGAGCCTGCCCCGCCATGCAATCATGGAGGTTGGCGAGAGCCAAGGCTTGAGGGGGAGCCCAGAGCGTAAAATGGAGTATTTAACATTTTAACACAATTTTAAAAAAATAACAACGTAAAAAGATACATTTTGTTTTTCGTGAATTTGCTTTGCAGTTTTCTCTCTCTCCACCTCCGAGCTATACCTTTTGGCTAGAGGATTCTTTGTGACTGGAATGACTTGAGGATGTTGTCTGCTTTCTCAGACACCAATGCTTCATTCACTCAGTGATGCTTTTATAAACTTCTGTGAGAATTTTCCTTTCTCCTTTAGTTCAGCTTGCACTGAGTGCTGGTGACCCAGCCCCAAGTTGAAAAACTATCAATAATAATAATAATAATAATAATCCTTGCATTCGATATAGCGACTTATCACATCTTCGAGACGCCTCAAAGTGCTTCACAGAAGATACTGTAAAATGAATTGACTGTGTATATTGTGGGTGAAATAATGATACACAAGTCACTCGAGATTGTTGACATTGAATCCCATGTTATTTGTACTGCAGTACAGTGGACACTGAGAGCAATCAAATGTTACATAAAGTAACGCATGAGAATTGTAAACCATAATACAGAAGAGATTGTCTCACTGTGACCTAAGGAAGGAGAAATGCCTTTACTTACTTTCACAACCATTGATCGTTTGTACCAATATAGAAATACGGTTCAATTCAACACAAGTGAACAAAACAAAATGTTTATCAGGGCTTTAATTATTTTACACAGACCACTAAACGTTCTGTGTTTGTGACACTTTTCGACAAAAATATTTGATAGAGCAATATGATGTATTGTATCTGTGTATCTAAGCACAAGTTGTCGGCTTAAAACAAATGAAAACAAGATAATAATAATCCTTGCATTTGATGTAGCGTCTTCGAGACGTCTCAAAGCGCTTCACAGAATATACCGTAAAGTGTAGTGACTGTATATTTTGTGGGTGAAACGCAGCAGCAGCTGACAACAAGCAGTTGTGGAATTTTTTTTAGAACGACTATCTGTTCTCATCCAAATTTAAGAGTTTTTGTGAACTGATTTCCTTCCCTTGTGTAACAGGTTCAGAGTATTTGCTCACAGCAGGAGATATCCCTTTGTGTACCTGCAGATATTATATATTATTATAATATATTTCAGAGCAGAATTGTAGCTGCTGTCAAGTAGAAAACCACTGAAAATATCTTTATGTAAAAATAATAGAAGTTGCTATTAAAGTTGTATTAGCTGTCAGCTGTGAAACCCACAAAAGCATGTGGCTCAATAGGCAAATAGCTCCCTGTAAAATGTTTGCAATATTGGAGGCATAACATCGTTAACAAAGAGAGTGTTATATAACTGTTCTCTTGCACTGAATAACTAGATAATGACGCTCATATCAGAGATCATAAATGCCAATCGTATTATAAAGAAGCTCTTTGACATACAATAGAAAATGTATAACTAATATATAACTAATCAGTGTAGTCATATATAAAAAGTGGTTAGAGCACTCGCCTCGCTTTCCTCCGTTTCCTTTGTTTAGCAGTAAGTAGGAACCCAATTGTTAGACGATTGTCAGATCGCTTTTCTGGGGGTAATAATCCCACCATTTGGTCACTCAATCCATGACTGTTGTGTGCAATCGGCTGCCACGTTTTACCCACAAAATATACACTCACTGCACTTTACAGTATATTCTATGAAGCGCATTGAGACGTCTCGAAGACATGCTAAGGCGCTGTATCGAACGCAAGGATTATTATTATTATTATTATTACCGAAAAAGAGAAAGCCTAGAGATCAAGTAGAAACGTAATACCTCTATTGTTTCTCGCCTGAACTGTGAGATTTATTTGCACTGGTAACTATGGTGACGGTGTACGGAGCCAAAAGAAGCAAATTACATACCAAAGATTCTGCAGCTTCATCTTAAACTCTTGGGGGCATAGAACATGCAGTCGATGGGCTCTTCACTACTGAGTGAGTACCAGAGAGGTCCAGGACTGTAATTAAAGAGACATTTTGGATTCCAAACGCATACGAGACAGAATGTTTAGTCGAATCACGAAATTTGGGTTCATCAGTGTTGCTACATGTTTTAACCTTTTCTGTATGACAATGCTGAGTAGAATATTCCTTATAAGAATCTGAAAGCAAATTATTTATGAACTGAGGTTAAATATGTGGTAACATTTCCTAGAGACATGGCGACGGGATTCAGGCTCAGGGGTGTCTACATTTTGGGTCAACTGCAGGAACACACCCCAGCTTTTATAGGTTAATAAACACACACACATATAGAATGATTTTTTTGTGAAATCTTTCAATCATTTAAAAATACGAAGAAATGTGAGCTTAGATAATGAACCATAGCTTAAATTCATGCAATTGAATGCTTTATACATAGAGTTACAACATATACATTCAATTCACTTTACAGTATATTCTGTGAAGCGTTTAGAGGCGTCTCGAAGATGTGAGAAGGCGCTGCATGAAATGCAAGGATTATTAATTATTATTATTATTATGGGAATCAGATGAGATGCTGTTAGTTGTCAGAAAATGAGCACAGAAAATACATGAGGTCATCAACTTTCTATGGACTTCCTCCACAATCTTCTCAACAAACAAAATCTATTGCTTTATTTGGAAAAATGAAAGGATCAAACAGACTGTTCAGTGACATTGAATTATTTATAACCTATGCAACATCTGTGGGCTTTGAAGGTTGGGGGGGGGGGGGGGGGGGAGGGAGAGGGGATCCGGGATGGAATTCCAGAGAACAGGGCTCAAAACAGATTATTTCAAATAATGGGAACACACATTTGTGAATATAGCTTTTTATTATGCGTAAAAATCAGCCTCAAACGCAAGGTTACAACTTGGTAATAATGAAGAACCCAAAGACATATAAAGAAGCAGAAACACGCGACTACATGTAGAGTGACCAGTTTCAAACTGGTTTAAAGTCATCAATCTAAATGCTGCTAAACAATATGGCTTCTTCTGATGCGCATGTAACTAAATCTTAATGTAATTAAATCTGTGTGCGATTTCAAAGAATTATGCACAGTTGTACAGTATAACCATTCTGTCAATCATGAGCAACAGCTCAATGGATAAATGACAACATTTTAAAATAAGAGCATTCCTTGCCTGCACTCCAGGTGCGTTGCTAAATGTTACAATGATTTATACATTAATAGAGATAACTCCATCCACCTTAAAAACTTGATAAGATTGTAAAATATAAAACGTAGCATAAGGCCCATCGATTCCCATTGTTGTATCAAAATTTCCATATGAGTCATCGCTCTGTGAACGTGCACCCTTATTCGTTACTGAAGTCAGATAATGAAGCAGAGTAATAAAGGTTTTATATATATATATATGATGTATATGTATATAAAAAGCTGGCCAAGACTTAACATAACTAATTGACCAAAAATCAAAATAAATGCACAAGACACAAATTTTTCTAAAAAAAAATCAACCCACATTAATATGTAAAACCTTCAGATTTTCTATGCATTAATCATCACCTTCATCATCATACCATCGGTTTCTCTTGATCTGTTCCTCAACTGTGAGTGGCTCAGGTTGGGTTTCTGCAAGGCTGCTGTCAATTACTGGATCTGCCTCATGCCAGGAGCCAAGAATATCAAGAGTCAAGTTATTACCCTCTGGTGCAGCTCTGCTTGGTTCTGTACTAGTATCCAAAAGGTCAACCAGAAAGGAAGTTGAATGCTTTGCATTGCTGTTTGGCTGCTTCCCTGAAGATTCTGTCTGACTAAAGCCCATGAAGTTATCCTCCCTTGAATTCTTAGCGGTTAGAGGCTGGCATTCATTACTCATTCCAAAGATCTCATCAAGGAGACTCATGGTTTTCTCTTCAGGTTGTTTAATTGCGGTCAAATAGTCCTCTCCAAATGGATCAAATAAATTGAGACCCTGTTTAGAACTAGTTACCAAATGGTTAGTATCGGAGAAGCCTGAACCTGGTGTATCCATTAGAATGACCAGATCACTTGCGACATGGTCTCCTAATTGCTCCTCCAGAACTTGCTCTGGTTTTGCCGTCTGTTTCTCCTCGGCTTCAGCTGGGAGGAAACCCTGAGCTGAGGGGATTTCAAACGGGAAGTTTAATCGCTGCCCCAGTTCATCTTGTTGCACATCCACATTATTGTTGTTATTGGAATTGAACTCTCCCAGATTTGCAGCTTCTTCATCACCGATATCCTGCTCTAGAGGCTCATCCTGTTTACCTTTATCGACGTCTTCATCCATCCCTCCCTCTTCATTAAACACAACATTCGTTCCATTAGCATTAATTGCATCTGGAGTTTCCTCGCTACTCAGTTCCACCTTCACATCCTCTTCACCATTGACTCCACTCTCTGCCTTACTGCCTTCACTTACACTCTTCACGTTTTCAATGTGCCAAGAGCCTTCTTTGTCCCCAGTTTCCTGTTTGCCCTGCGCTTGTGGAGCATCAGATGACTCCAGAGGTCGTTCATGTGTGTCTTTCAATGATACAGCTTTGTGAGATCTGGAATCCAACTCGCTGGTCTGTTGAGCGGAATCTTCCGGAGGCCATTTTGGTTTCAATACTTTCACATCCTCTTCAATACTGAAAGGCTTTTTAGGCGACTCAAAGCTGGGAGGCCACGTGATGGTTAATTTGCTGATGTCTGCAGTCTTCTTGACCTGATCAGGTGAATTTTCAAGGTGTTCCTCCGTATCCCCAGAAGTATATTCAGGAACCAACTGATCATTCTCAGGGCTGTTGTTAGTTTCCTCAAGCATCTCACTCGTGTAATTTATGCTGCTTGTATTGTACGGGTTTTCTTCATTAATGTCAGGAGAAATATTCTGACTGTTATTCAACCAGACGTCTTTGAGTGGCTTGTGTCCAAAACCTTCATCGTAGTTACCTTTAGACTTGAAGAGCTGTTTAAAATGAGGTTTACAGTACATCTGTCCGTGAAGCGAAGCATAACTGCCAAGACTGGAGAAAATAGAAAAGGTACATTTCAATGTAACTCTCCTGCAATCCCAATATATTCCAATTTATGTCATTTACAAAGTAAGCAACAGCAAGCCCCAATATTTGTGTGCTCACTGACCTATTGCACAAACCAGATTCATAGTGGATGAATTCTCAGCTGTTGAGTTAAATATATTTCAAGTTAAATTAGACAAATTGTCCAAGTTGTATTTGTGGAACTGAATTAAACATACCCAACAGCCATTTCTAAACCATACTTAACCTTCTCAAGATGATGTTGCTTTCTAATTTAACTTGACTTTCACTATTAAAGTACTGTAAACAAACATTGGAAGTCTAACTCCTACCTATTGATTCTTCTATGGTGTGTGTGAATTATTTAGTGCAGAAGAGAAAGCCTATGCCCACTGGCACAATTTGTCACAAATGTTCACAAACACCAATGCAATGCATAAGGTGTGACTTCCATTTTCCAAACAGGAGAATTTGCAATATTCACACAATGGAAAAATTGGATTCAACCAATACTGAGAGGTGTAGAAAGGCCAGAAAACAAAATTGAATAGCCATATCAACCTCTCCACTCAGCGGGCTGCAGCCTGCTTCATGTCCCACGCCCGGTCCGCCCCATCATCAGCGATCGGGCCTTCAGCCTCTGTGGTCCCATGTTTTGGAACTACATCCCACAGTCCCTTTGCCTCGCTTTCTCCTTTGCCTTCTTCAAGGCACGTCTCAAGACCCTCCTCTTTGACCGCACCTTCGGTCACCCTTCTACCCCCACCATCCCTGCCCTCCACCCCTCCATCCCAACTCCCAGCTCGGGTCCAAATCCCTGACTGTCCAGCGCCTTGGGAAGTCCTGACGTGAGAGGTGCCGTGTAAATGTCATTTGTCGTTGTAGAAAACCACTTCAATTACCTGTGGAACCCTGGAGATGAGAAGGAACAGCTCTTACCTTAGCTTACTGTTACAGTGATGGCAACGAAAACAGGACTTATGAAAGATGTGCTTGTCTGCTGCCAGGTATTCCATGGGATATACCGTCTTTTGACAAGCCGTGCATGTCTCCTTGGCTGGAAGCTGGATTATCTAACACAGGAGGAAAGTGTTTTAATTTTTATTCTTATTCCACGCGTTTTGGAAAGGGGAACTTCTACACCATTAACTTGACAATTTCTGAATTCATGCAAATATCTCCATGCTTCCCTTCATTAAACAGACTTTGAAACCACTTTTGCTTTACAAGTCTACTGAAGGATGTAGCTAGCCAGAAAAGTTGTTCATTATTTATGCACAATTGGCTGCCACATTTCGCCCACAAAATATACAGTCAATTCATTTTACAGTATACCCTGCAAAGTGCTTTGAGACGACTCGAACACATGATAAGGCTCTATATCAAATGAAAAGATTATTATTACTCTTAGGATGTTGATGAATGAAACAAGATGCAAAATATCCCAGGCAAATAGTTTTTTCATTGTGAAAAGGCTCAAGGCTCACTAAATGTTAATAAAACAAGTCAGATAAATACTGGCACAATGTTAGTTCAAAAATAGTAATAAACCACAAAATATCATACAATTTTTCATTAAGCTTACTCCCATGCCCTTTTTATAAGTGCCCAAAGTCCAAGTTAAATAATCTGATTACACCTACCTTATCTATCCCTCTGTGTTTGAAAACCTAATAACATAAAACTTATTTTCTTTAATAAAACATGCTCACTCCTCTCCTCAATGAAAGTTGGGCTCAGAATTTTATTCTCTAGGAACATAGGAACAGGAGGAGACCATTCAGCCCCCAAAGCCTATTCCAACATTCTACTAGATCGTAGCTTCATTGCAAACCTTTATCTTTCTCTCTAGTTTAATTGTTCAAGAGCTTTGGTTGTTGGGTCTCAAAATGAACACAATGATCTTGCGTGGACCATAGCAGCAGTAACCCATCAACCATTCCATCTTGTTCCACTACAGGACCTGACAAAAACATTCCAAAAACAAAACCACCGAGAGACGCAAAACAAACAAACATTAGGGAAGACCAAATGGAAAGTGAATCACTTAAGCCTATGTCACTTGTACATTATGTGGCCACAGGAATTCAATAACTCATTGATTACACATCCTCCAGATGCAACACTCTGCTATATGAATTTCGTTTGAGTTGAAGTCTTACAGGCGAGTGTAGTAATTATATCACACTATTATCCACGACAAAGCTTTAATTTATTACCACAACACGAGTGTCTATGAAATCTCTACGGTTCAATAGTAGTACCAATCATCACACTCACAGCAAGGCAAGTAGCATTAAGAATAGAAGAAAGAAGCAAATCGGAGAAGCAGAAAATAGCTTGATGTTAGCTCAGTGAGTTTTGACCTCTATTATACGGTTAAGTTATTCACATTATTTCTCTAGTTTCCACACACCAGGCTGTCCGTGCAGAATTACCGATCAGCGACCCACGTTCCTGAAGCTGGTCACTTTGCCAGCCGATCTCGTTGGTTTCTGAGATTTCGTAGCCGAGACTCCTGAAGACGCGCTCGCTCTCTTGCCAAGTCTTTTGGAAATTCTTCAACAATTCCTCTGGCGAGTCGTCGGCCGAAATGTCAAAGATTTGTCCAGAAATGACGTCTTCGTAAGCCGGTGGCGCGTGGCGAGAGTCAACGCCTGCAAACGTTCAGAACAACAAGTGCTGGATCTTGAGCTGGTGACTGTACTCCCAACAGCACATCGTTCCTCCACCCCTACCACCTGCTGACTGATTCCTTCAGAATATGCGGACGATTTCACCGACTTCCCCCGACTCGCATCTTTATTGAGTCTGTGGCCGGGTTGAGGAGATTTGCTCAAGGGAACCTTGCAATCCCTCAGGAACTTTCCCTGCTTCACAGGACTTGTGGTTCGTCCGGAACTTTCAAACACCGTCCTGACAGACTTGACATCAAGCGTTGGGATTTCTTCAACGATACCGGTCTTCTCAAGGATTTCATCTTCACTATCACTGCCCAGCCTTTCAGTGATTAAGATGGGTTCTTTTCTAAAGTAAGTGGTTGGATCTGGGCTTTCAAACCTATGAACTAATTCCGAGAGATCTACCTTGGGCTTGTGGTCACTTTGTTTGCTTGTCGCCAATCCTGCCTCGTTCGTGTCAAAGCCCAAACCCTGAGAAATATCTGAGACATCCCTACGCACAAAGATTTGGTTTTCTTCTGTTCTTTTGACCTCTTCAAACTTGTCTGTTCTATCTTTAACCGTGACGGACATGACAGGGGAAGCTGGTTTAGATGATATGTCTGCCACTGGAGTGTCAACCTTTAGCTGACGTCGAAGAGTGGCGGGCGAGGAAACAATCTCTGACCTCTTCTCCGCCACGTGAACGTGTACAGACTGCACGGATTGTGAGACGCCTTGCGACAGCTTGGCTGTGGTGTCTTTCAGCTTGGCCAGCTGGTCGGCACGTTTCCCTCTGGGAGGAGAGGGCGAGGTGGAGTTCGTGCGGATTCTGGAGGTTGGCGTGTCTGCCCTACGGGGGGGTAAGGGAGGGGTGGGGGTGGAGTCTCGGGCCAGTGGGGGTGGGGGGCTGCACTCTTTCTGAAAAGGTGACGGAGAGGGAGAAGGTCTCAGCGGAGACTCTGTGCGTCTTGCCGTGGACTCGATGGTGATGTAGGAGGGCGAAGGCGATGGCATTCTCTTGGCTGGAGACTGGGCTCTAGGCTCAGTGACTCTGACCTCACGCCACTGCTCTTTCTTACTTACGTCGATTTGTTCTTGCGAAACTTGATTTTTCCCTTGTTTGTCCAGTTTAGAAGATCCAATGCTTATCCTGGATATCTTCTGTGAAGGTCCATACGTTTCTCTGGCAGGTTTGACACCAGAGAGTGACATCAGACCTTTCTGGATCAAATCATCGCACTGTATCAGCTTGGCGATGGCTTCCTGTTTAATAGCCGCTAGTTCTTGTTTTACTATTTGCAGATTCTTTTCTTTGACCACTTCCCTTGGGTCCCTCCCGTCCCAGTGTGTTAACCATTCAGGAACTCTCTCCAGAAACGCCTTCACTGCATTGAAATCCACGTAGTCATTCTCCTTTTCAAACTCTTTCACTCGGAATAAAATGTATTGCAATTCCTCACGCTTCCGGTAGCACTCGCCAACTTCCACTTGAGCTGGTTTGGCCTTGCCTTTGTCAGATAGCTTTAGATTCACACTCTCTTTGTTTGCCTGTTGCACCTGTTTGACAGGTGTAGGGACCAGGCCGGATTTACCACTTGCTTCTCTCGCATAACTCACTTGCTCCTCTGCCTGAAAGCATTCCCGTTGTTCAGTTTTATGTTCTACCTGACTTTCCCTGACCATTGTTTGGTTCCAGTTGACTTGCTTTCCCACATGGACCTGCTCACTTAAGCCCTTTGACCTTCCTGCCAAGTGTGCTAAGCCTGCGTTAAGTTGCTCTCCTTGAACCATCGGATAGGTTTCCTTCCGAGGCTTAACATAATGTTTCTGGGCCTTTTCAGTCTTTGCCTCTTTGGATATTGCTCCCTTTTCCCTTTGCTGTATTCTCCCCGATTCTTTAAAATGGCCTGAATACGATGGCTGATCTGCCAGATGGACTCCCTTGATTTTCATGTGACTTTGTGCAGCTGAGCTCAACCCAAGTGTTTGTGAAGCAGGCGTCTTTTCAACCTTCCGGTCTGTGGCTTCAGTCGCCGCTGTTTGAGCTTCCGTCAGGTGGGATTGATGAACTGCAGTGTTACGTTGCTCTTGTGTGACCACAGCCACACGCTCCCTTTGTTCAAACTGTTTAACACTTCTCTCTTGTACGTTAGTTTCTGCGTGGCTGGTAGTTTGATGTTGCTGACGTGTATGTGCGAGGACATTTTCTTTATTTGCTTGTATCATTTGCTCCGACTTTGGTCGCTCAATAGTTTTGACTTTAAATTTCGGCAGAGGCCCTGACTGGGTTTTTAGTGGGCCGGATTGTCCAATTTTTGTCTTTTTGTCTGTTTCTATTTGATCCCTTCCCTGCTGCTGTGTTGGTTTCACGCTGCCTGAAACAATATCTTTCCTCGAGTCTTTAAATGCATTCAAGATCTGCTGGTTGCTACTCATTGCTTCTGAAGAAGATTGCAGGATGTGCTGTAATTGCTCTGAAGCAGATACCACTGTGGACTGGGAAGAAATTGTTCTTGATGTTGTTGTTGCAGAAACGTCCTGCCTTGCAGCAGAATAGACTTTGGGCTTCACAGAAATCTGGACCTCGTCCAGTGTGTGTGCTGCCTGTTTGGAATAAGCTTGATGCTCTGCAAGTACAGACCCCACAGGCTTATGATCAATCTGTGGCTCTTCCACAGCAGATCCTGTTTGTTCAGGAGGAACCCAAGGCACTGCACCACACGTGAGGGGTTTTCCTGTGGCCTGGTAAGGGGTGGAAACTATATGATCCACAGCTGAGCTGCTAATCACAGACGTTGAAGGTTTCTCTGTAAAATCCTTTACAAGACCTTCCGGCATCTCTTTAACTGAACCTTCTGAGACATTCCTCACTGCTCTGCATGCAGTTATGGGCTGAGGAACTTTAGCCACATTAGTTTTCTCCATCTCCTCTCTCTCTTTTCGGTATCTTTCTTCAGCGATCATTAAAGGAGTTTTAAACCTCCTGACGTAAGGTTTGGGTGTCACTATTGGTTTGTCTGGTTTGGGTGAGGGAAGCCTCTTCGATGGCACAAAAGCTTTAACAGGAGGAGGAGGAGGAGGAGGGACGGGAGAGGATGGAGTTTCTCGTTGCTGTGCGAGTTTGGGAATGGGTCTGATTACTGCTTCATGGGATGAAGATGGGATAGGAGATGGGCGTTTTGAAGGCTGGATCTCTGGTTGTTCTGGCTGTGATGGTTTGACTTGTTTCTCTTGCGCAACATTGTGATGTCTCTGCTCTGGAACCTTGGGTTGTGCAGAAGTTTCATCCATTGGTTGAGTCGTTGGCTTCAAAACAGGAAGCCCACGTAATACTTTAGGCTTCCGTTGCTCAATGGGTTTAATAGGCTCACATTTTGGGCTGGTTTGCAAAGGGTGGAACTTTATGGGTTTATCTAGCAATTTTCTTCCTGTACAAGGTAATTGAGGAGGAGGAGGTGGTGGGGGAGGGGGTGATGTTTGGGGCAATGGCAATAAATCTAATTCAGAATGTGAATGAGATGGAGTGAGACAACCCGCTGTGGACTTGTGGTCAATAGTCCTTATTGTAGACAGAAGGTGGTCGCTTTCATGCGTCTCTTGATTGTTCTGAACTAACGTCAGGGATGGTTGAGGAGAAGCAAACATCTGCCTTTCAAAGTCTAGATTTGATGGTGGAGGAGGAAGAGGAAGGAGAGGAAGGTCAGTGTCTGAGGGCTGCAGAGCAGGTGGCGGGGGTGGTGGGGGGAGCGGGAAATTAAGGTCAGTTAGACTTCTGTTCTTGTCCATTTTTACCTGGCTTATTCCTTTCTTTCCTGGATTATGAGTTTTAATGTCAATCTTGTTTGCAGGTAGATTAGATCTCTCCAATGAAGCAGCTCCAGGTAGGAACATGCTAGGAATAGGATTTTTATGTATAAACTTGCTGTAGTTCTCTAGACTTGTATTGGACTCTTTCATACTTAGTGTTTCCTGCTTGCGTTTGATACTATGCTCCTGGGTTGACTGAGACAGGGAAGTCTGGATTACTTGGGTTGCTATCTGTGAATGTTGTGGAGCAGTGACTGGGTTTTGAATGGTTTGAACTATAGTCATTTGTGTAAGGATTGGATCGGCTGTAGTATTGACCTCAGTTTGGGGTGTTTCAATAGGTTTAGCATTTCTCCTTGAGACTGGAACCTGCTGTGTCACCTTTTGGGGGTTACCTACACCAGAGGTCTCTTGTGTTCTGTGCACAGTGTATTTATCAGTCGAAGCCCTGGCTGTTGTAGTTTGTTGTTTGATAACTTGAGTACTTGAAGCACCACTCTGCTTACACGGCACCCGGACGTGACAGTCTTCAGATATGTTCACGGTTTTCTTTCCATCTCTCTTTATGGCTCCAAACACGTTATTTTGTTGTTGTTGTTGTTGTTGTTGTTCTTTGGCATTTGAGAGACATTGGAGTTTCTCACGATGGCTCCTGACGACGGAATCAGCCGCTTTCATATGAACTTGTTGCTCATGTTGTTCAGCACTCATTGTCTGTACAGTTTCTTTAACATCTCTTACAATCTCTATCTTCCTTTGATCTTTATTTGCTGCAGGGAACTTTCTGGAAACTTGCAAATCTCCTTCAGAAGCGACATCATTTGCAAAGGATATCTGTTCCTCGCCTTGCAGCAGAGTTTTAATGGTGCTTTGAACGCCTTCTGAACTGTCTTGGTATTGAACTGTGTGTTGTTGTCGTTGTTGTTGTTGTTGGGGCTCCAGTAAACTCTGCATCATAGCTTTGACGTTTCCTCTGTTGCTCACCTGACGTGGTGCGACTTTCCTCTCAGCCGCCGTCTCCAGTAACGTTTGCATTGTTGCCTGAAGGTCGCCAGTTACGACCGTAGCTTTCTCAATCTCCTTCGTTGAGCTTTGTGCTTCTCTCAAGGATTTTAAAGTGTTCTGGAGGTCACCTGGCATGACTTCCTCTCTGTGCACTTCTGCCCTGGTATTGACTGACTTCTCCAGAGATTCCAGGGTCCCTCTCACATCCCCTGAAACAACTTCAGGTTTTTCAAGATCTTTGAGTTGATATCTTGCTTCTTCCAGAGATCTGAAAGTCGCAGATAGATTACCTGGTACAATGGCCTCCTTTTCCACCACCGCAGGTTTGTTTACGGCCTGACTGAGCGAGTCCAAAGTGGCTCTTAAATCACCTCCTATAATAGATTCTCGGCCCACACGGGCAGAATCATTTTTCTGCTCAGACATAAAAGTAATCAATGTATTGTGAACATCACCGGGTACAATCTCAGACTCGGCCACCATGCGTTCGACTTGAATTTGCTGTTGTTGAAGCATTTTCTTGGCTCCCTCCACATCCCCGTGGATTATTTCTTTGGACTCATCCTGGCACACAAAGCTTTCGTCAGAACTTTGCTGGAGAAGTTTGAGATAGTCTAAAGCTCCAGACTCTATGCAGGTGGTGTAGAACTGAACATTACCTCTCTCAGTGTCATCGATTACAGCTCTGCGTGCCATCTTACTGCCCTGGGAAGTGGCTAACAGGTTATCAATGGCAGTTTGTACATCACCTCCTAGAACTTCATCTTGTTGAATGTTGGTCTCGCTACTTTGGTTAAGAAGGGAATAAATGGTCATCCTGACATCGCCCTTCTCACTCTCTTGAATTAGAATCCCTTTTTTGGCAGAGACGTCATCATTCAAAAGGCTGTTGATAATCTGTTGAATATCACAACTGATTATTTCTTCCTTTTCCACATTAATGTCGGTTGAGCTGTTCAGAAGCTGTGTCGTGGTCAAATGAACGTTGCCTTTTTCATCCTGACCCACTTTAATCCCTCTCTCTGTGGATTCCTTGTTGGCCAGCAATTCCATCATGATCTTTCGGAGATCCCCTCGGACAATCTCTTCTCTCTGTATCTCAGGGGAGGTTTGATTCAGGAGCTTATATTTGGCCATTCGGACATCTCCAATCTCATCGGCTTCAATCAGGACTCCTTGAGACTGGACAATGTTACAGTCATACAGTGACTTGAGCGTTTGTGAAATACTTTTCCCTATTATTTCTGTCCTTTCCACTGAGCTCTCGTTGAATTGATGTAAAGGTGTGGTTTCAAAGAGCCAGGTGGTTGTCTTGACATCCGCTGGTGGAATTTCCTCGCGGATTACTCTTGTATTGGTTTCGTCTGTTTCCTGTATCGAGTCCAATGGTTGTTTTTCAAAAAGCCAGATTGCCTGCCTGACATCTCCTCTCTGGACGTCCTCTCTCCCGACCGTTTTGATCTCGTTATACTCACAGTCTTCGCCCTTGAGCTCATCGATGGTGCGCGTTTCGAAAAGCCATGTCGCGGTCCTCACATTACCTTGCTGGATTTCACTCACGCTCACTGTCCTAATGTACCTTTGATCCAGATCAGACTCAAACAGTTGGGTGTTGGATTTCACATCGCCACCTCGGATGTCGGAAATCGTTTTGACGACAACTTTTTCGTGATCCGCGATTTCGTCTAGTGGCTGCGTCTCGAACCTCCATCGTGCAGAAGTGACATCTCCTTTCTGAATATCCTCCTGTGTCACTGCTTTGATAACGTAAACCTCATCGGTTTCTTTGATCGAATCGAGTGGTTTGGTTTCGAACAGCCACCTGGTCCCTCGCACGTCTCCGCTAATCACCTCCTCCTTCCGAACAGTGGTGACCTCGTGATAATACCCTTCCTTATCTTTGATGGCGTACAGCGGTTGAGTTTCGAACAGCATGGTGTAGTTTTTCACGTCTCCCTTTTCGATTTGTTCCACATTGAACTGTTTGAGGTCAGTGCTTTCTGACGATTCCTCTGATCTAATCTGATCCAGAGAATAAGTCTCGAAAATAAAACGTCCCTTACCAACATCTCCCCCTTGCACATCAGTGACTGTGCGCATGATATCCTGCTCTTCACAGCTTTCTTTGATGGCATCGATGGGATGGTTTTCAAAAAGCCATGTGCAGTTGAGAACGTTGCCTTTCTGAATATCTTCTGCTTTGGTGGTTCGGATCTCTCTCAGCACCCGGTCCGAACCGGAACTGATCAAATCTAGAGACTGGTTCTCAAAGATCCATTTCTTACGCGACACATCCCCGGACTGAACATCTATCTCGGTCACCCGTCTGAACGCTTCCTTTTCCTTCCCCTGGATCCTAGCCAGAGGTTCAGTCTCAAACAGAAAGCGGGCCATCCTCACGTCCCTTCCCTGAATATCCTCCTGCTGTACTGTCCGCACTGTGATAACGGTCTCTGAGTTGTCCTTTATGGTATCCAGTGGCTGAGTTTCAAATAGCCAAGTACAGGTTTTCACATCACCTCTCTGGACCTCATCTACTTCACTCTTCATTTCTGCTTTTTCATAAAGAGCGTCTATCGGCTGTGTCTCAAACAGCCACCTGCATGTCTGTACATCTCCGCGGACAATATCGCTCTGCTGTGTGGCACTACTTTCATCCTCAACGTTGCTGAAATACTTGATAGCGTCGAGAGGTTGGGTTTCGAAGAGCCATTTGGCAGTCTTGACGTCCCCAGATTGTATCTCTTCTTTCGAGATGCCCTTGATGATTTGAAACTTTTCCATACTCTCGTCGAACTGATCGATCGGTTTGGTCTCAAACATCCACCTGCACGTTCGCACGTCCCCCCTCACAATTTCCTCTCTCCGCACGGTCTTGACCTCATGATAGTGGCCAGCGCTATCCTGAACGGCGTAGAGAGGAGTCGTTTCAAACAGAGTTTTGTTCGACTTCACGGCACCGCTGGTCACACCCTCCACTTGGATCTTTTTAGATTCATCAATGCCACTTAAATTCATGGTTTCAAAGATCTGTGTATAATTGCTAACACCGCCCTTATTGATTTTCTCGAGCTGTATTGTTGCATATTTCTCCTTTTCTTCCCCAATCATTTCAAGGGCTTGAGTCTCAAAGACCCAGGTTTGGTGTCTGACATCCCCTTTTTCTTCCTCAGACGCAATCACTGGCTTCAGTTTCCCTACCTCTGGGCGGTCTGTTAGAACATCCATGCGGACAGTCTCAAACAAGTGCTTTGTGGACTGTACGTCACCTCCCATTATCTCCTTAGTTTCCAAAGGTTCTGCCTCATCGTTATCTTTCAGGGAGTCGAGTGGTCGGGTTTCAAACGCCCAACACTGTCTGCGAACATCAGCGCCCTGGATTTCTTCTTTATATTGAACAGAACTTTCTGTTTCGGATTGCTCTTTGATACTGTCTAAAGTCTGCGTTTCAAACAACCATTTAGCTCGATTCACGCCACCTTGATTAACTTCCGCCATGGAGATACCACGCACCACTTTTACCTGTGAGATGTCTTTGTTGATCATCCCCAGAGGCTGTGTCTCAAACAGCCAACGTGCGGTCCTCACATCTCCTCGTTCAGTCTCCTCTCTGCTGACAGTTTTGATCTCCAGGACCTGACCGGACTGATCTTGGATGACGTAGAGCGGCTGAGTTTCAAACAACCTGGTTGTTTTCTTCACGTCTCCCTTGATTTCCTCCACTTCAGTTCTCAGATGCAGGAAATTTGTTTCATCCACTGAATCCAAGTGTCCTAGAATATCGAGTGGCTGAGTTTCAAACAAATACCGTGCGGTTTTGACATCGCCAGCGGTGATGTCTTTCTCGGCCAGCGCCTGGTCTTCCTCTTGATAAATTTTATTCATGGAATCGAGAGGTTGCGTTTCAAACAGCCAAGTAGCAGTGCGGACATCTCCTCTTGCTAACTCGGGCACTTTAATACTGACTTCTGTAGAATCAGAAGAGCCTGTACCAAGTGTATCAATGGCTTGCGTCTCAAACATCCAGGCGGTGTACTTGACATCCCCGCCCGCAATCATTTCTTGCTGTGAGACAGATCTGCAGTTGTATTGATCGGGAGCCTCGTCCTTGATGGAATCCAGTGGTTGAGTCTCAAACATCCAGCGCATGGATTGCACTTCACCCTTAAGGATCTCATCCCACTCCAGATATTCCCGTTCCGGGCTCACACATTTCTGGGGGCTGTGTCCAGTGTGCTCAAATGCATACTTTGCCTGTTGAACATCTCCCACTACATCGTTCACTTTCGTTTCATTAGTCACAATCTCACTGATCTCTTCTATGAAGTCTTTTTCCAAGTTCCTCCTCATCTCCGGGTTGATGTGTTTGTACAAACGTTTCAGTTCGTAGAGATTCCTTTGCTTGGAATAGAGTTCCTTAGGAATGACTGGATTGTTCGGAGAGGGGGGTGGTTCAGGAGATTGGGAAAAATAGGTCGTCATCTCTGATGGGATCTTCAGCAGTTCTGGAGGGGGAGGAGGGAATTCTTCTATGCTTCCACAGTGACTGGAATTGGCAGAGACGGGAACAGTGACAGGAGCTACAACATTTACATGCTTTAATGAGGCATCTTCAGAAATCCGGCCTTCTCTCACTGAACTGGACACAACGAGGTGCTGCTGTAAGTTATTCTCTGTCTTAATGGAAAAGTCAAGAATCATGTTGGACTTTGTCGCACATTCTTTCGACTTTGGTTCCTCAGCATGCAGCAAGGAAATGTCTTCATGCAACAATTTTCAACACAGCATCTTCAATGGGCTATTCCACCAAGCAGTCTATCTGGACACTCAAGGCATTATTTCAAACAAAATACCAAAGGACGGACGGGTTTTGTAGCGTTAATTTGATCTTTAAAGTTGCTTCTACTGCTGCAGATGTTACAATTGTGCCTATTTATGTGAAGGAAGTGATAATTACAGGCACCATGTAGTGGAGAATGATTTCTTACCTTTCCATTTTCTTCAAAACATTCCCCTTGTCACAATGGTTCTTTTTATACCTAATTGTATGATTTAGGACCGACGACAAAACCAAAAACGTTTTGAAAAAGGGGGGAAAGTGAGGACAAGAGACATATAGATATATATATTTGGAAGATAGCAGGAAATGGAAGAGAAGATGATATGCAGCAGAGAGAAGAGACATTAAAGAATTAGAGGTAAGCACAACACAATGTTAGAAAGTCACACACACACACTCACTCAAATCTATATTTCTGTTAGTTATGTTTTACAGATAAGAAACGAATGTTGACACAATCAGCAAACCCAAAAGGCAATTGCTGTTCACTGTCCACACAATCAATACCACACCAATACTTTATCGCATCAATACCACACCAATACCTTATCACATCAATACCACATCAATACCTTATCACAATCAACACCACACTAATACATACCTTGGTCTGTTTGGTGGGAATAGACTTAACAGGGCTAGGCTGGGTTGATTTTTCAAACTGCTGTTTTAACATCTGAGTCGAGATTTTAGGCATTTCATCTTCAATCATCACATCCGCTATCGAAGTACAAACATAGACAATTCATTACATCTGATCGTTTCTTGGAATAAAGGGTGTGGGGTTGTAGAGAAAGGAGGGAGTGGTGATGGTGTGCATCATAATAATCATAAATTGGTCACTTCAATCCACTACTGTTTGTGGGACACTGCTGTGCGCAATTGGCTGCCCGCAAAATATACAGTCAATTCACTTTACAGTATATTCTGTGAAGCGCTTTGAGATGTCTCGAAGCGATCCACCAATCAACTAACAACTGGGTTCCTACTTACTGCTGGTAAACAGAGGCGTGTGGAGTAAGGAAACTTGCCCAACGTTTCGGCCTGACCCAGGAATCAAACCCGGGTCCTCTCGCTTGCGAGGCGAGTGCTCTAACCACTAAACTATAGGACTCCACTGGATAATGGCATCGTACAATAGTTTGAAGCTGAAAGGCAATTTGGTCTGAACACTATAATATGAATACTGCTGTGGTTCCAGCACATGCAACAGAATGAAAGCTCTCACCTTTATCTACAAAATTGGCAGTTCTGCTTGACTGATGAGTATTCTGTTCAATAACAGACGCCTGCAAAATTACAATAATTTATTACTGTGATTTCATGTAATAATATTCAGGAAAAGTATGTCAAATGTATGAGAATCATATGTAATAGGTATCAGGGGTTTTTATATGTGTACCTCATTAATAAAGTGACACAAACATCAAATATTTCTATTTCACAAATACATTCAGTGAATTTGCTGACATCAGTTGCTCAAACTCAGACAAAGTATTTCTGACCCCAATAGTTTTACTCAGAACCCAAAGCAAAAAACATCAGCAATGAAAACATCAGATTTTTAGACCGAAGATCTAGATATTACGGCTTTGTCTTATATAACATAATTCAGAAAAGACTTTGAGTAAAAAAACAAATTGAGAAATAGCTCAGTTGGGACATCAATAGGATTGGAAAATGAATTAATTCCTGGATATTCCTCCAGAAAATAATATCTGGAGATACAGTGTATAGTTTGGGACACAACATGTCAAACAACTGCCAGGAAGGTGGAAGGCCAACTAGATGGACCTTGGTCTTCTTCCGCCTAGCAAATTCTTATGTTTTATGAAGGGAACTTCTCCACATGACCCACTCTTGTGATCTCATGAAAACTTTACAAGAATGAATTAAAAAAGCCCCTAGCTGAGGTTGTCATTGCGCTATGTTCATTACCGTTTCCATCTGGTAAGCTTCGAGCTGTTTGTTCAGTGGTGGTCCATTTTCCTGTTCGGTTGTCCTAATGCTGCTATTTACTTGAACCTCACTGGCGCTCGTCATCTCCTAAAATAGGGTAACACAAGACACTGAAGCAAGCAAAGCTTCGAGGGCCTTATTCATAGCATCGTCTAAATATTATTTACTCCACGTCATGATCACAAATACACACCAAGGTCAAAGTGGAAAATAATAAATATTGGGGAAGCTAAATAAATATAATTGCACATTGAATTCTAAAAGACATGCACAGGAAGACCCAAAAAGATTATCTTCTGCATCAGGCCAGACATTTTCACATCCCTGCAATTTAAACCCTGTGGATTTAGGGTGTTATATAAGCAAACAGGTAAGCATGTTTTTTCTGTGTGTGAGGCACTGTTATGTGTTGATTTATTCTAATCCTTCGAGAAGCTCTTGCTGTTCCTCATTCAACTGCATGACCGAGAGAAAAACAAATCCTTATCTGATGAAAGGATCTAGATTGTTCTAAAGACCAGTGTCTGAATAACGAAATCTAAATTAATGATAATCCAAATGTTAAAGGTAACACCACAGTGTTTCAGGTACAGAGCCACTTGAAACTCAATAATGTACTAAATAACATGCATCAGAGCAGCTCATTTTGTCACATCCATCATATATTTTGCTGATTAAAATGTAACATGACCAACTGATTGTATTTAGCCGTTCTATTTACGACTCAAACAAATGGATATATTTTCCACCAATCTGAAATTTCTACTGTAGATAATAATCATGTGTTTGATATAGTGCCCTTTACCTCAGGAGGACATCTCAAAGAAAGCAGTTCATACCACAATAACAAGATTGCATTTATAGAGCGCCTTTCATGTCGGAAGGACGTCCCAAGGCGCTGGACAGTTGGGTTGGGACCCGAGCATTGGAGGGAAATGGTCAGGGTGAGGGGAGGGAAGGGAGGGAGCGAGGAGAGGGTAGAGAGTCGAGAGTGGAGCTGAAGGTACGGTCAAAGAGAAAGGTCTTGAGACCGGCCTTGAAGGAGGAAAGGGAGGAAGCGGCGAAGGCACTGGGGATAGAGTTCCAGAGCCTCGGGGCTGAGAGGCTGAAGGCCACCGATGGTCGGGCGGTTGGGGCGGGGGATGTGGAGCAGACCGGAGCCAGAGGAACGGAGGGTACGGGCAGGTAGGTAGGGGGATAGTAGGTCAGAGAGGTAGGAGGGAGCGAGGCCGTGAATGGCCTTGTAGGTGAGGATGAGGATCTTGAATTCGATCCTCTGGGGGATGGGGAGCCAGTGGAGGCGAGCGAGGGTGAGGGTCAGGGCGAGGGCGAGGGTGAGAGCGAGGGCGAGGGTGAGGGCGAGGGTGGGAGTGATGTGGTTGCAGTGTCTGGTGCGGGACAGTACACGAGCTGCAGAGTTCTGAATGACCTGCAGTGTGGAGGGAGGGCCGGGAAGGCCGGCGAGGAGAGAGTTCCCATAGTCCGGCCTTGAGGTGATAAAGGCGTGGATCAGAGTTTCAGCCACGTGAGGGGTGAGGTAGTGCCGTAGTCTGGCGATGTTTCGGAGGTGATGGAAGGCGGTGCCAGTTGTGGCGCGGATGTGAGGAAGAAAGGACAGCTCAGGGTGGACCAGAACCCCGAGGTTCCTGATGGCTTTGAGAGGTGGAGAGTGCAGCCTTGGACGCTGATGCTGTCAGTGCCTGAGGTGCGGAGGCGCTGACGCGAGCCAATCAGGAGGGCCTCAGTTTTGCGCACGTTGAGCTGAAGATAGGATATACTGTAAAGTACAGTGACTGTGTATTTTGTAGGGGATCATGGTGAAATCAAATAATAGTCATTTTGAAGTAAAGAAACTCGATGCACCTAATGCCAAATTGGGGCTTATAGCAAAATTCCTAAGGCTTGAGTTACCCATTTTTGGTTACTAGAAAAAGTCCCTCACTAGGATCGTAATCCATATTTAAGCACAAATCTCGAAAGGAATGTTATTATGGCTATCAATTTCCTCTTTAGATCTTTACTTCACCCCTCATTGCATCAACTTCAACCTTATAAAACAAGGCAAAGGCTTCCCCCTCATTAACCACCAGAGGGTGGGTGTGAACAGGTACAGGGAGGACACACAACCTTCCCTTGGGTCTATTGTGCGTTGACAATCTAATCCAGATTACTCTCAATTGTTTATTTTACTGAAATTTTATACTCAAACTCTCGTGTTCCTCTCTCTCAGAAAAGAAACAGGTGTTTATTTTAGGAAAGTCTCAATCCTAACTCAAACTGGTCTCACTGCTTTCCTGCACCTTGTACCCTCTAATGCGACACTACCCTGCGTGAAGGGTGCTATATAAATGCAAGTTGTTGCTGTGCTCTTTCAGCATTAGGGGCATCTTACACTCTGGGGTTAAGTGACTCTGGGGTTAACAACAACAACTTGCATTTATTAATGCCCCCACCCCTCAGGCTGGGTAGCGTCCCAGAGCGCCGGAAACTGAATTGAAACTAAACTAATTTCAACTAAGATTCAGAACTTTCAAAAAAAAATTGGACCAAAACCAACTCGCGTCTTGGACTTTGGAAACCATTTCTTGGAAATGCCAATTATTTCCTACACCTTGTGATATTGGTTTTCGTCAGCCACCGGTTCAGGGGGGGTCAGTGAGGGAGACATCAATGTCAGTGTGTGGATGTCAAGGATCTCATAACAGAAGGTAATTACCTGTACAGATCGTTGCTGGTAATGGTACTGGGTAACCGTGCTGTGTGAGGCTGTGATCTCTTGTGATTCAAACTGTTTCTTCACACTCGCCAGGCCTCCGGGCAGCGTGCAAGCCTCTTCCTCTGGAGCCTAAGAACATGACCAAGTAATGTTAAGAATATTACCTCGATCCAGACGCGAATGCTGTTAAATCCTGGGAATCTAAATGTTCGGCCACCCCTGTGCAAATCCAACAAACTGTTATTAATTAATTTCTATGAAGGTCACTAGCGAAGAACAGAGAATGATTTGTGGAACGGGATACAAAAGGTTATTTTGGTTCATCCAAATTAGAATTTCTCAGATGAGGTAATGACAAACTTGGCACCAGGAACAGAAAATTCAACTGCACAAAGCACTAAATTAGCTTTGTGGGTGGGGGCGAGGCCACAATTTGAAAAAGAACTAATTTAATGGACTGATGGACGGAATCATACGAGTTAAACCCCACCAATTCAGATTAAAATCATTTAAACCTTCTCTCTCTCTCTTCTTCCCCGCCGCCCCCCACCTGTCCCCCGCACATAAATGTTTATTTACAACTTCCTGAGTTTTACACCCAATTCCAATGGCAACAAAGAACTCATTCACCAGCTAATGTATTTGTGAAAGTGATAAAACGTAAAATGTCATCACTCTTCAAGCCGTTCTGATCATGCATTTTAGAGACACCAGAAGAATTCTCGGTCACCCAGTAACACCATCACAATCCAGAAATCCTGTGATATAAAAGGCAGACACAGTTCTCTTTATGGATTCATAATGTCTGCTGATGGTTCCAATGAGGGAACCCCATTTTAATCTCTGATGTTTCGTAATCATCTGTTCAGAGTCAGTGATTGATGTGGCAGTCAGACTGACAAATGACAGCTGTACAAGACATTCATTGGGATGCGAGGTAGATGGTCAGGCTGCATACTAAGAATGCAATGGAATGAAATTAACTCATACATACATTCTGATGACAAAATAGCCCCCCTGAGGATAACGATACATAATAATCCTTGCATTTGATATAGCGCCTTTCACATAGAAAGCATAGAGGCTGTCAGCGACACTGAGTGGTGGCATGAATCAAGAACTAGACTCTCGTTCTACGGTTATAAGGCTGACAAAAGATGGAGTGAGAAAGTATCGTAGACATTCCCCCATTTACACCATCAAAATTTGATTATTAACAAAATCCAAACCGGTACAATCAATACACAACGCTTACTTAGTTAACTGTTTACTTAGCTTAACATTGACAGAAGCACAGGAGTAGTGTAAACAAATACTATAATAATAGACAGACAGACAGACAGACAGACAGACAGACAGACAGACAGACGGACAGACGGACAGACGGATAAATGGATAGATGGATAATAATATAGTCCTTGCAATTGAAATAGCATCTTATTACATCTTTCACAAGCTGTGAAAGCGCTTCACAGAATAGACTGTAAAGTGTAGTGACTGTATATTTGGGGTTCTCTGACCCACCACTTTTTGGATAAGTGTGCACGATGAGATGCCAAACATCATTCAGTACATTTTCCTGGTCCGTTCTCAGTGTTATTTGCCATCTGTAAGAATCCCAATTAAATTGAATCTGGTCGTGGACAGTATCCAACCTGGTCCTAGTGGGAGGAAGTTCACAGGACATGACACAAACTAGCATTCTGATTTAAAGAGATGATAAATGGATTTAATGTGAGAAATGGAAATGGTGCACTAGGGAATACTCTTCAGAGGTTAGGTGCAACCACATTCTGGAGGCAGAAGCTTTCTTCCTACATCAAATCTACTCAATATTTCACTTGAATTCCTAACGCCGACACTTGAGGGAAAAGATGTTCCTTTTTTCTCAGATAACGATGGTAGCTCACAGAGATTGTAAGAATCCCCCAGAAAAGTGACAACATGAGAACCGTTTTGATAAGGTCTGAAATGCTTCACCAATCTGAAGCCTTACATTTTCAATTAGAGGATCTTTCACACACAAATCCAGAATTCCCTGTAAAAGTCAGAAGCAGACCTTTGATCAGGTGCATTTCCTCTGTTGGTATTGCTACCTGGCTAATCACTTACCTATCTCCCTGCTGTTTAAACTCCCTTTACAGTTCAGGCTACAAGACTTCAGTGCACATGAAAACCTTTGCATTTTTTTTTGTACAGCTGCTGAAAGATCTTTTCCTAATTTTTGCATATTATCGAGAGCTTTTTTTTGTTGACTTTAGTGTTTATTTAAATATTTATTTATTTACCATTTCACCCCCAAACTACACAGTCACTACACCTTACAGTATATCCTGTGAAGCCCTTTGAGACATCTTGAAGACGTGATAAAACGATATAGCAATAGTAAGGATTATTATTAATAAAAATGTTATGTAATTGATACATACTCAAATGGGGAAGGGACTATTTCATAAAATAGCCCCACCAACACTGATGAAATCACCTCCGCATGAGGCAATAACATTAATTCAGTGTACAAGTCATGAGCCATCTCCAATGGCTGGTCAAACCAATTGCACTCCATTGCTCAATGTACAGTTTGCATACAGCAAACTCCAGAGCAAAAATATATACCCCATCACTCAGTTAAACTTAGCCCACAGACTGGCACCTGTCAACAAACTACAAGGCCATGTAAGCTTCAACAAGTTTGTTTTATTGTAAGGTGACTATAAGGTCAACACCTATTTATAATGATTACATACGCCACAAGTAACCTACACTGCTTCTGGCACCACACATTTCTTTCTTTCATATCATTTGCAATTTATAGGTAACACTATTCAACATCTCGGAAAAAAACCCCACTAACAGACGATAAAAGTGAGGTACATCTGTACCATACCCTGCAAGAACCAAGTTCGTATGCAAGCACACACTGATAATTCCTGGCAGCTGGACTATCACAGGCAAATCAGTTTGTCATTTTCATTTCTTGCATTTATGTCGATCATTGTAAGCCAAGTGGTTCCTGTGATTTCCATCAGCGTATGCGTTGGTGTGTACTGGGGGTCTCATGCTCAAAAACTACCCAACCTCAATTTGTTTAGGGCATTTACACGACAGAATGTCAGAATGTAATCATCATCCATGGTTGGAGGTAAAGCTAAACCCCATTTCCTAGCAGTGAAAAGACAGAACTCTAACGCATCCCTCACACAATGTACTTTAATTTGTGAAGAACGACATCCTACATTGATCTATTGTGATATATTGGGATTGCAACTCAGAGAGCGAGAGATCATCATATTGAGCCATCCTGGCCAGCCGAGCTGTGAGTTTGGTTAAATCGGTTATTTTAGTAGAAAGAGCTGGATTGTCATCAGAAAGTAGACACACGAGGTAATCTCAATTAATCTGCAGCAAAAAAAGCTATTCAGAGGGTTGGAATCCTAGCATAAGAGGAGAGTAAAGCAATGACACACAAGCATTCTTGATCGAGAGAGGGAGAGTGGGGGTGAGAAAGCACAGGAACTTCACATTAATACCAAGATACACAAGCGCTGAAATGCTGAGATAAAAACAGAGATAAAATGCAAGAACTGACACTCCGCTCCTGTTACACAATGGCTGTGTCTATCGATATTAAAGCAGCCCTGGATGGTACACTCACTGAAGGCTAAATATTGTACATGCTGTGTTTCTATGTTAAATACGAGAAAGCTTAAGTAGATCCACACTTAATGTAATAACAACTAAATAAATAAAATTGTTACTTACAAGACCAGAAGAGTTGCCGCTTTCCTTCTTAGACACAGCCGCTTGATACATCGCCATTCTCTCCTTCAGTGAGATGTTCTCCTGGATATCTAGAGGTGCAGAGAGAGCTGTGCCTGGCTCATCAGATGTGGGGGCAGCTGTGTGGGAGAGAGAGATAGTTATAATAGCGGTGTTATAGCTGAACCATTTTATAATGGTGTCTCATTAACAAGCCTGGCAGCAATTTGGAAAAAAACTGTTCAAGGTTTCATCTGTTTTCCAATTGCTGCTGTCTGTTACCCAGGACCCTATTTTCCTGGCTAGTCTTGGAAGGAAATTTAGCAAATATATATTGACATATAGAGCCTTACCATGTCTGTGAGACGCCTCAAAGCGCTTCACAGGATACGCTGTAAAGTGTAGTGACTGTATATTTTGTGGCGAAATTCACCTGCTGTGGGGATTAATCATTATGGAATGGGTCCAGTTACTATTACCGCACTACTATTACTTGGGACACACACACTCAAACACTCACACACTCACACGCTCAGTGAATCGGTTTTGTTTTTTTGTGGGTAAAACCCGACAGCCAATTGCGCACAGCAGCGTCCCACAAACAGTTGGGGATTAAGTGACCAAATTATTTTTAAAAAAAAGGGGATTATTGCCCCCGGAAAAGTGATTTGCCAATCAACCAACAACCGGGTTCCACTAGATAAACAGAGGCGAGTGGAGTACGGAAACTTGCCCAGCGTTTCCATATACAGTAATTACACCTAGATTCCAATAATTACAGACCCAAAACATTCGTATTACAGAATGTACAGTTTTGGTACAAAGGGCCTTTAAGGTGATTTATACTGTCCAGACAACTAGATGGCAGTAATGCACAATTGTAAGTAAGTAAGACATTTTTGCAGCACATAGCAACCACTTGTTTCCATGTTCTCTTTAGGAATTGTGCTGAAATCATACAATATTTTGAGATTTGGGTGGTGATTTGCTATTCACAAATTCTATGTCAGTTTAAAAAATGTCCTAACAATTCAGTAGCAAAGAGCAGTCTTTAAATTGGTTAAAAGGTTTAAAAACGATGTAGTAATAATAATAATAATAAAAATAGCATTTGATACAGCACCTTATCACATTCATTGAGAGACGTCTCAAAGCGCTTCACAGAATAAACTGTCAAGTGAATCGACCGTATATTTTGTGGGGGCGAAAAGCCACAAAATAAAAAAGGCTCAAGGTTTCAGCTGAGAGAAAAAAAACTAAAATGAACCAAGATAGCTTCTTACACAGGGAGGGGAGAGACTTCAATAGCGGAACAGCTGATTTTCACAGCCCAAGTAGACTATAGCGTGGTGTTAGAATCATTTACGGGAGAGATTCCAAACTTCACCAAAAGGACTGTAATCCTAGCTTTTCAGCTGTGACCCCTCAATCCAGTTCCAGCACTGAAATGGTCAATCTTTTGATTGGCTGACAGACAGATTGTTAGCCACACCAGTACAAGTTTACCTTTATGCAAACGTATTTACTCTAAAGCCTCTTGTGAGAGGTCTGTGAAATGGAATTTTTAAATAAGTGCTATTAAATGTGTGACAGTTGCAACTGGCAACTTGTGAGGTGTTAGTCCACAGAAGTCATCATGCCCACAAACAGCAAACCATATAATTATCTATAGAATATTAAAGCATGGAAAGGCCTATTCAGTTCGACTAGTCTGTGCTGGTGCCTGTACACCACACAAGCCTCCATCCCCTTCTCCCCCCTGTGGGCGAGACGTCTCCTCTTCATGCTTCTACCACAGCTTCAGTTCAATCACTTAAAAAAATCATTCACACCTCTTGATCTTCCTCTTTCTCTTCTGAAAGTGGCCGCGCTTTCAACCCTACACCCCGAATCTCTGGAACCCTCCGCCTTGCGCCTTCCTTCCCCGTCTTCAGATCACGCCTGAAGATCTTCCTCTACGACCAGTGCCTACGGTCACCTCCCACCTCCCTCCCCCCCGGCTGGGTGGCGTGCTCCACCACTGTCAAGCGCTCTGGGACGCTGCCCTGCCTGAGGGTCACTGTGTAAATGCTAGTTGTTGTTGATGAAAGTGCTGACTTTAATTGGGACCAAATGAGTCACCATTCATGGAGCAGTCTATCGATCTCGACAAGAGAGATGACTGAACCGGCCGATTCCACTAAAAACAGCAATCGCTTTTCACCGTCTGTTTTTAAAAAAATGATGTGCATATTTGGAACAATACTTTGTTGGGTTCGTTACCCACATTCCATACGTTGGCGAGACGCCTGTGAGCTGACAAAGACAACCATCTGATCACCACATGTTCCTTTTAAAACTCTTAACCGCTCCCTCTTATGAGTTCCTCCAGTTCTGACCAGCATGCTATTGCAAACCTATCAGGTTTATGCTACTAGATCAGATACTTGCAGAGCAACCTCTTAAAATAAACTAGGTCACTCCAGTCACCATTTCACTTTATATAAAAAAGAGAGATTTTAATCTTACTCGAGCAGTTAATAAAAAAAGCACTTCTTATATTTGATGGAGGTTTGCTAACGTTTTCTAGCTCAAAGATAATTTATCCAATTTTCTTTTATCTGGCAATCTACCAGAACACATCTGAAGTATTTAATGACACATTGGGGAGCTGCTTGCAGTCAAGGGCTCAGATATCAGTGGAAAGTGAAGTTATCACAATGTCAAGTGAGATCTGAACTAATTCAGGATACTGATTTACAGCACCAGCCAGCCACCCCAGCTTTACAAAAACATAAGAGCGTTAGAATCCTTTCTACCTCCGTTAACTTTCACATCGCGCAAATCCACCTTAAAGTCAGGAGAACTGTACATAACAGAAGGCAGATGTCTCAATGGATATTTAACACTCTTACTCCAAGTTAAAAGCTGATGAGGATCAAATCACCAACGCTATGTTCCACGAGAGATATTACTACACTATAATAATCAAATCACAAAAATTACAGTTTAAATAATTAGGGATTATTTAAAATAATTAATTCTAGCTCAACCAACCACTCCATCACCAACAACAAGGTTTAACAGCTAACAAAGGCAAATATGAATGCTGTTGTTTCACAGTGTAAGATTCACCTCAAACACTTCACATGATGTGATAAGCATTACTTTGACACACACAGAATATTATCCTTGCATTTGATATAGCGCCTTATCACGTCGTTGAGATGTCTCACATCACTTCACACAATATACTGTAAAGTGGATTGACTGTATTTTGTGGGTGAAACACGGCAGCCAATTGCGCAGAGCAGCGTCCCACAAACAGTCGTGAATTGATTAACCATTTTTTTTTGAAGGGATTATTACCCCCATAAAACGAGCTGACAATTGACTAACAACGGGGTTCTCACTGACTGCTAAGTTGACCGAGGCGTGTGGAATAAGGAAACGTGCCTAAGGTTTTGCCCTGCCTCAGCATTGAACCTTGTGAGGCGAGCACGCTAACCACTACTCTACAGGAACTAAGATTGTAGTAGTTGCTTTATTGGCAAAGTGATTCTCCGCGAATAAAGATAGGAGAGCCAGAGGTCAACAGGATTATTGGACAAGATGGAGAGACTGCTCCCTGGAAGCCTTTTTCATACAGTCTCGGGAGACCTTGGGATATCTGCAGAATTATAAGATCAAGAAAAGACATTTGCAACTGCTTCTAACCATTACTTTTTCTATGTCACCACATGACCTCACCTTAACCAATGGTATATAAATACACAACAAATTATCCACTTTAACCAAACATCCCCTGGGTTTCAGATCGCAATATTCACCTACTTGAGCAAAGGGTCAAAAAATTGTTGACCAAAAAAGAAATGGTCGGATATCTTAAACACAACTCGTCGTGTCAAATGGTGCATTAAGTTAGAGCATTTCTTACACTTCAGAATGGGCAGAGATTAGAGCAGGGTTCCCTGAGGAGTTCCGAATCTCAGGCATAGCAATCAGAAGACATGCTAAAGGGAATTAAGTTACTTCTCCTGAGACAAAAAGGGAGTGAAGAGATGAAGTCAACACAGATTGTGGGTGTACCCCATACACATGGCTTCACAGCAAAATACACACAGGCCCAGAAGATAGATGCTATTTCATACCCTGCAGGCAGTGCACATAGGATTTGCAGAGGAGGTGAGTACTACGTGGGCGTTTCGCCTACAAAATATATAGTCACTACACTTTACAGTATATTCCGTGAAGGGCTTTAATTTGTCTCAAAGACGTGATAAGGAGCTACATCAAATGCAAGGATTATTATTATTATTATCTACCCTGTAGTATTAAAAAAAATCCGTGTCTGGCATATTAAATATTAAGTGCGGTTTACTTCAATTCCATATAAAGCGCAAAGTAAAAACATAATTCTCCCATTTATGAAAACATACCTTTCAGATAAAGGATTGGTTTAGAAAGAGAAAAGCAGTTTGCATCCATGCCCAACAGTCTACAGTGTAAATCCCACGTGTATGTATACTCACTATTACTATAATGCACCATACTTACCCCTTTAATTCAATAAGATTTTGCAAAGTAGCAGCTAATGTAGAAAAGCTGTCCCTTTAATCCCGTGCCAGCGGGTTTCTGCCTTGTGTCCAGCTCAAGTGAAAATCCCTCTTCGTGGCAGCTCTTTGCTGGAGTCCAGCTCCAGTCAGCCCTGTCTCGTCCTCACTCCTCTCAGACTGCACGGTGACAGCTGATTTTATTTTAGCCTCTCGCAAAGGGATGGATCTGGCTATTTTTAGGAGGTGAGGCCTATAGATCCCTGTGTCCGGTTCATCACTCGAGCTACAAACCTACTTCGCACGACAGACAGACAGACAGATTCACTCACTCACTCACGCTGCCCTTTGCGTGTCTTTAACACCTGTTAAACCAATCAAAGCGATCACCATGTTATAAGGAGAAGCCATTAGGTAAAGCTCACACTATAATTATCAATCCCTCGTATTACAGGGTATTGAGTAATGCTCTACAAGTCAAGATTGTAGAAATCAGCTAAATTAGAAAGAGGTTCCACAGACCAATTTCACTTTTCAACTTGGCGTCAGTCAGTGATTGCAAATCAGACCTTAATTTAAATGCAATGAATACTTAGAACATATTGATCTGTGGCTTACATTAGGCAAGTGATCAAAGACCAGAAAGGGTTAGCTCACTCGCTGAGTGTTCTCTATTCATAATTAAACAACTTTCAAACGGGGAAATGGACCACTTTTTACACAGCGTACAGCTGCCTTTCATTTTTTAAAAAAAATTGCCATGCCCTCTACAATTTCTCTGGAGTTCATAGAAATTACAGGCTTCTTTACCGTTTGATGGGCCATAAAGTTAGCCAAATCAAACACCCAGACACTTGTCGTGCCTAACACTTCAAACATCCTCACTCCAGACTCCATGAGAAAATGGAACTAAAATACTGTGCATCCTGTGACTAGCCTTAGGAGCTGCTCAACACGGAGGCTAAAGTGGATGACATCATCTCCCAGTTGGTACCATATCCCCTTTCCCTAATACACCTCTATCAGGCAAGTTTCCTTACTCCACACACTCGGTTTATTGAGCAGCAAGTAGGAACATGGCAGTTAGTCCATTGGTGGAATTTGGTCACTCAATCCATGACTGTTCGTGGGACGCTCCTGTGCGTAATTGGTTCCCGTGTTTCACTCACAATGCATACAGTCACTCCACTTTTCAGTATATCCTGCGAAGCGCTTTGAGACGTCCCAAAGACATGATAAGGCGCTATATCAAATGCAAGGATTACTATTATTATTATTATCTTTGAAGGAGAATCTAATTTATTCAGAGATTTCTTTTTTGTCAAACAAAATATCACTAAAGAGATTTCTGCACTAATAGGAAAATAAAACCATGGAATTATAGAGACAAAAAGGCTAAAGATGACAATAAGTTTGATGGAGAGCGAACCAAAGTCTTACCTGTTTTTATATTGCCATTTCTACAGTCAATAGGTGCCATATTAGAGAAATCAGAAATGAGTTCACACACACGCTAGAGTTTGAAGCTTTGGTTATTTGACTTCTACAAATCTCCAACAGGATTTCTTTCTCTCTGCTTCAGTCAGTGGAAGCTTACAATATACTGTAGCTAACCAGACGTTACACATTCATCGATCAGTGTTCTTCACTAAGAAATCTATGAAAGATTTCTCTATGAAAGCCTAGACTTTTATGGTCATTCTCCCTCCCTCCCCCTCCCCACACACGCCATATACATTACACTCTGGCGTGGAAGTGCCCTTAGGATAATGGGATGCAAGCTTGAGTTTCACATGCAATCCAGGGGTAAACGTAACCAGATCATATTGCCACGTCTATCATGTCGAAAGGTTTCTTGCCATTGAGAAAAAGGGAATTTGAGCAAGTGCTAATCACAATGGAATGTGCCCACTGTAGTGGAGTTTTCTCAAAATCTGTCTAAGCTGTGCAATACAATAGGTAGCCAGTGTCCGGATATTGCCTCAAAGTAATAAACAATGTGGAGTTAAACAAACTCAAAAATCTTGTGTGGAATAAGGGATCTCTGAAGCCAGTGTAGCTGTAACTAGCCCGAGGCTACAACAATCACCTGAACCCTGAGATTAGATTAGAGCCATGAAAAATCGCTCGCTGGAGTTTGTGTAAAGCATGTGCAGTTTCAGGTTCACTTGCGGGGGTTCAACTGGTTTGAAGCCAGCAACGCCTGTCTCTGCAGATTGTCACTGTGAGACAATTCCAGGTCTGGACGTGTGAGGAACATTTACACAAGAGGATTAATAATTATTCATTCAATATTACCAGCTCTTTTATTGAGAATTATCTACAATTCTACAGTGAATTATCGTCAATTCACTTGACAGTATAAACAAAAAGCAAAATACTGCAGATGATGGAAATCTGAAACAAAAAACAGAAATCTCTGGGAACAGTGCTGAGTGTTGCCAGCGACTTCTGTTTTTGTTTCACTTTACAGTGTATTCGTTGAAGCACTTTGAGGCGTCTCGAAGACGTGATACGGCGTTATATCAAATGCAAAGATTATTATTATTATCTATTCCATAGCATTAGAAAAAAAATCCATATCTGGCATATTAAATATTGAGTAGGGTCCATATAAAGAGCAAAACAAAAGCATAACTCTTTCTAATGTAAAAATGTACATTTTATATAAAGGAACTGTTTAGAAAGCAGTGTTATACTGAACATAAAGAATAATACATTAGTTATTAAAGGGTTTGGGATAGCAAGGTTAAGAGGAGCAGAGTGTACAGAATCCTAGCCACTGATTAGTCTACCTTGTCACGTCCTGCTGACAGGCAGACGGACTGGTCTATCATTACCAGTGTCTCGGGATAAACCTGCCCGGGTCAGCAACCAGAACATGGAGTGCATCAAATAAGGAAACGCAAAGAGAACAGAATTAACGGATTTATTTTAATGAGGATTGTGCTAATGTTACAGCATTAACGCCGCTCTTGACACGTCAGCAGTTTGTTACCATGACAACAAATGACATTTACACAGCGCCTTTCACGTCGGGAGGACATCCCAAGGCGCTGGACAATCAGGGATTATTGTTATCCAAAAAAATGGAAAAACAAGTGGCTATCTTTGAGAAGCGTGGGCGGGAATATTTACTCTGCTAACATGTGATGCCAGATTAGGTAGAAAATGGACTTTCCGTCATTACTCAAATACCACATTATATTTAAACACAGGACCTCTCGTCTCAAATACCTGGAGATGATCTGAGGAACATTCCAGCCCTGGTTCACATTCTCTCTCAGCAGGACATTAAACCCTCAGCACTCCCTCGGACACTCAAAACTAAAACTAAATGAAACCGACCGACTGGGTCAACTTTGTTTGCCCTTAAATGGTCAACGGTTTAGAGCAACTTCAACACCTGTGTGTTAGAGCCGTATAAATGATCATTCCACTTGTCACACGCAAACGGTTCAAACTATAAGTGAAACAGTTTCACATAGGCAGCGTTTTAAGAAATAAAACTTTATTTAACCACGATCTCTCCATCTATATTAGATGCAATCCAAGAGGGAAATGTTCAAAATCCATAACCCCTGGTTTGCTAATCACATAACTATTCCAACACACACAGCACAGTCAGCAGACATCCTTTTTTTTTGGTCGGCTGGGTCACACAGAAACCATTCACCGTTGCTTAAGGGTCTCCAAACTAAGCTGAGAATTCCCCGCCTCCCACCTACACATGGAAATCCCAGTGAGAGAGTGTTGGAATGGAATGCGCTCCCTCTCTCTCTCTCTCTCTCTCTCTTTCCCTGGAGGGACGCCTCCTGCTTACCTAATTCCGGAAAGTATTAGGCATAGGTTGGCGAGAGCCAAGGCTTGGGGGGGGGCCCAGAGTGTGGGTTGTGCTTATCAGCCAGGACCACTCTACCCTACCAGTTCAACTCCAAGGAGCCTCCACTTACCCCTTCTCCCCCAACCCCCCCACCCCCACAGAGCCTCACTAGGTGGATGGTAGGTACCAGGATCTCCCTGCGAGCTTCCTGGTGAGCAACATAAGCTCACCGTGAAATGTGTGAGAGCATTCCCACCATCTTCCTGTCTGCAGCTCAGGCACACATCCCTTCCCACTGAGCGATGGTTCCACCAGTTGGAGATGCGAAGCTTAAGCAACAGCTGCTTTGCTCTCCAATGGTTAGTAATGGATGGAAGCAGATGTCCGTCTGCCTACAGTGTTGGGAAATAGCTCTCCCCAGGATACTGAACCACAACCTTATACAATTTACTGATTTCTCTTTTAGTTACAAACGATTAGTTCTGGTCAGTCGGAGGAACCTGTGTGGACTACTGATGCCAAATTTTATTGTGATAAGGAACTTGCTGAGAATTCTATAACAAATGATATGTTTAGCACAGAATAAGATGTATTTATTCTTAGTTCATCTTTCCCACGAACTATGTTAAGCCCAGTTCCCATATATTGGGGGAAGGGATGAACCTTGAGGTATTTCCTTGGAGGAAGGAAAAGGCAGCAAATACATCCTATTGGAAAAACCTGGCTGGGTAGTTGGGTGAGGGGCTAGGGGCAGTGGGAGCTAGGGACAGACACAGTAGAAGGAAAACAGGAACACACATTAAATGAAACAACACGCAAAACATCTTCAATTTCATGGTATCTTCTAAGAATGTACTAAAAACACTCGGGTCCTGACTTTTACAAAGGAATAAACATTAATATTTGCTTTGGTAAATGAACACAGTCTAGCAGTAAAGCTGAGCTGACAATACAGTAGAGGGATCTAAACTAGTTTAAATATTACAGCACTTACCCTTGATGTTGTTTGACTGTTTGCCTTCCATGGTCATAGAAGTTTCAGGTTCCCTGCTAACTGCACGATCTGGAACTCTGGACAAGTCGCCCGGAGGAGTTTTAAGCTGCTGCTTGGACGGTGGCGAGATCGAACTTCTACCTCTCAGTTCCTGTAACAGGACAAAGGGAGAGAGAGAGAGAAAAAAAGTCTGCAATGCTAATGGCTATTTGGAAACATCTGTGGTTTTCCTCGTGCAGTTTCTGCTGCTTCAGCCCTTATCAGCGAAACTGATCATACAGTAACACATAGAGAATAGCCACACTTAGCCGCCACACACGACCTGACAATTTCAACAACTTTTCCAGCACAGGCTGAGGTTTTTTTAAAATATAAAACAGGAACAATGACATCACCTGATAAACAAAAGGCATCAGGTGTGGTGTACAGTGCAAGGTAGATTAGCACAAGGCCATTGTTCAGATGTTGGTTAGCAACCAGCTCAGCACGAACTCATCGATAAACGCTCACTCCTTAAACGACTACTGCAAATGGGTTTACTGGAACAGAACTAAACAACAACTTGCATTTATATATAAGACCTTTCGCGCACGGGGTGGAAGCTTAGAGCACGTTACTGCTTCCTTAAACATGCTTAATAATACGAAGAATACTACTACTTGCATTTGATATAGCGTCTCAAAGCGCATCACAGAACATATTGCAAAGTGTAGTGACCGTGTATTTTGTGGGCGAATTGCTCCTAGATGTAATGAGTATATATTTTTTTAAAATTTCAAACACACGTTAGCAGTTTGTGCTTCTCACTGTAATAATAATAATCCTTGCATTTGATATAGCTCCCCTCACGCAGGATAGCGTCCCAGAGCACTTGCCAGTGGCAGAGCATGACACCAGGCCGGGGGAGGTGACCATAGGCACGGTCAAAGAGGAAGGTCTTCAGGCGTGATCTGAAGTCGGGGAAGGAAGGGGCGGGGTGGAGGGAGAGTGTTACAGAGTTTCGGGGCAAGTCAGGAATTTGCTTAAAAAGTCCTACAAGTTGCTTAAGAATTAGGTCTTTTTTTTAAAAAAAAATGGGGTAAAATGTGCAGGATTCCTCAATGAACACCCCAATCCCTTTATCCTCCAGCGACAAGGTTTGCACGAACTTTTCTCAAACCAAGAGTTCTCACTCAGCCCCATAATCTGCGTCCTGGTGTTTGTGCAGTTCTCTCACTTTCACCCACGTTACCAAATGGATTAGTTAGTCATGGAAACAAACATGCTGGCGACCAGCCTTAGGGAAGTGGGGAGCGAGAGCGGAGAAGGGCAGAGAGGGAGAGAGAGAGAGAGAGAGTAAGAGAGAATGAGGGAGCGAGTGACACACACACCGTATGTACCAATGTTTATCTCTCCACATCAACTGATTTCCGAAACCTTCTCTGCACACAATTTCTCTGGCAGGCCTGAAAATCAATCAATGGCTGATAGCTTGCCTGGAAAAGCTGCAATCACTCCCTCTCAGTATCAAATCAACAGAGAAATCTTTGAGCTAGCCTGTGTATTTTATACCTTAACAATGCGCTTTGTAAGAAGCCATTCAATAGTTTTTCATTTCAACAAATATGTAAATAGTTGTTTTTTTTATTTGAATGGTTCATTGGAGGATCCCAACGCAAAAGTTACTTTACTTTAAGATTTAAATGTTCGGTTTGAGTGTACAAAGCTGATTGTAACCTACACTGCAAAGTATTAACAGTCACCCTGTTCAGAACCTGACAAATGTCCAATACCTTTCATACCTATGCAAATTATTAGCTTGTTATATTTTACAAAATCTCATTTGCAAAACAAAATGTGCTTTCTGCATCGAGGTATATTTTCCATGGTAACTGCATGGTCATGTGCTGGTGAACATTACACAGAGATATTGGCAGAGCTTTCATATTAACACAAGGTTTGCTGTAATATATATATGTTTCAGCCACTGAGCTGAAACGTAATTGCCCAAACCCTTTTCTGTTGACAAGTACGTTCCTGTTGTTTACCTACAATGGCCTGTTTCGCCCTCAAAAAAACAGTCAATTCACTTTACAGTATATCCTGTGAAGCCCTTTCAAACATCTCGAAGACGTGATAAGGCGATGTATCAAATGCAAGGTTTATTATTATTATTATTATCGCAAAAGGTCATCGTACATTTCCTTGAAAGCATTTGTTGGACTAATCATGATATATTTGATGTGTGATTTACAATCATTTGATTAAAGAATTGTGTGCTTGAGTCTTAATTTTTGAATGAAATCATTGGATGATCTTCACAGGAAAAATACATAGGGAAGGTATAAGTACTAAAGGTACTGAAAAGTACTCAAAGCGCTGAAACAAAATTTATCAAAATGGTACATCTGTACAATTTTCCTTCCAAATAATTCTCTGTTTACTGTTATGTTTGTGGAACACTCCAAGACATCCTCTCGATGCGAAAGGCACAATATTCATGAAAACTTGTTGTACATTAAAGCTCAAATCTCATTAACTATGTTTGTGAGGCTCTATAGAAATGTAAGTTGTTGTTGCTACCGACCCCAGGAATTTTATTCATTGAACCATTTGCAGATTCATGAGATGCATTTTATGTAGGTAGTGTTTACAGCGATCTACGAAGCTCATACGTATGTTTTGTCCGAGTCTTGTTGCCCATTTAATTTTAGCAAAGAAACAGTCCATTTTGTATTGTTAGTCTCAGGTCAACACAAAGCCATTAAGGCCAGTGAATTGGACAATATTGACCTCCTCTCTGCCAGAGCCACTGTGTACCATGTTACATTGACACAGGAGCATTAACTGTATCTGTTACTGTAAAGAGCTCTGAAACCCCTTCCAGCGTGGAGGGCGCTATATAAATCGAAGTTGTTGTTGTTGTTGTTAAAGCAAGACGTCAGTGTGCGTAATGGAACACAATAATCCACACCTCAAACATTCAGCATTAATTCAAAGCCACAGTGTGGAATACCAAGTGGCAGAATGTCACTATTTTTCTGCCCATGGAGTTTTCTACCACACGGTAAATTGTGATTGAAATTGAAAAATTCCTTCAGTATTAAATATGAATATAAATGGCCAGGCTGTGTCAAAGAGGACTCCCTCTATTCCTTTCTTACAATTGCTGCGCGCAATTAGCTGCTGGGTTTCACCCACAAAATACACAGTCACTACACTTTAGAATATATTCTGTGAAGCGCTTTGAGACGTCTCAATGATGTGATGTGGCAAAATGTGCAGCCAGTTGCACCCAGCAGTGTTACCACATTTTTTTTGGAAGGGATTATTACCCCCGGAAAGCATTCTGCCAATCAACTAGCACCCGGGTTCCTACTTACCGCTAGGTAAACAGAAACTTGCCTAAGGTTTCACACTGCTGGGAATCGAACCCAGGTCCTCTCGCTTGCGAGGCAAACACTCAGCTAACCACTGAGCTACGCGACTCCACAAAGAACACACTAACAGCCACAATTAAGAACAACCCAATGGAACACAGTAGTCAGATTGAACTGAGTGTAAAAAGAAAGTTTCCTTCCTAAACTGCTGTTTTACAAGAAACATGAACAGAACAGCAGCACCACACACTGTAACCACTCAATAGACAGTCCTGGCTAAAAATATTTTCACACTCAGTGGCTAGGTGTGGGTGGACAAGGCGAGCATTTTATTTATATCTCTGTCCACTTCACAGATTGCAATTAATTAGCAGGCTGAATGCATTGTTGTTTCCATTGCTCTTCACTTGATCTGCAACTATATTGGGAATAATTACAGAGAAACTACAGGTCAGTTTAACTAAATGGCTCCAATTATCCAACACTAAACACTGGTTTCATGGTAACATCCAATAATGAGCTTTTCCAGGTTACTCCATGCATTATGCCCCAGGCTGGTTGGCCTAATATTTGGCTCCCACCCTATATGTACAAGTCTGCCCCCAACACTCTGCACCATACATTAGATGCTACCAATTACTGTGCGCAATTGGCTGCCACGTTTCGCTCACAAAATATACAGTCAAATTATTTTACAGTATATTCTGTGAAGGGCTTTGAGACGTCTCGAAGACGTGATAAGGCGCTGTATCAAATGCAAGGATTATTATTATTTTTCTTGAATGCAACATAACACAATGAAAAGTATGACATTGGTAAAGCGACAGAAAGCTTTTGTTAAACTTTATCAACCTAAGTTGGCTTCCAATGATTTCGTCACATAGTTTTCACATTGAGCTTATTGAATTATAAACGTAATTGAGTAACAGGAAAGACTGAAGAAAGATGTCAAAAATACGTTGAAAGCTCGACGTTTGCATAAGCACTTCCTCTGAGCGCCAGCTGATGTGTGAAAGTGAAATGAGAAGCCATAAGAAATATATGGCGTATGTAGCCATTACAATGCATCACCTCATTCCAGAATTAGCATTTAAGCTTCCTTAATCAGCCTATTTGTGTTGGGATTGAAATTGAATTATGATGCTTGAAGGATGTCAGTTTGTTGCTCTGCGTGTGGTGAAAGTTATGGGAGGACAGAACATGGTGAAAACAAAGGTGAAGCAAATAGTGGATACGGAAAGAGTAAGTGAAAAAGAGTTAGTACAAATTGCAGGCAATTGCCAAGTCATAAATGTTTGATGGAGAGAACTAATTAATGTTCAGCTCAAAGCCCTGGGTTAGCAGTTAAAGACAGAACTCTCTCCCGCACCTACCCTCACAGGTATAGATGCCTGTGACTGACATGACGGGCTTTAATGAGGGAGTGTGCTAGTTGCAAAAGGGGAAGATTCAATTAAACAACTTTAATAACAACGCAAAGTCTACAAATAACTAGTCAACAGATTATTTAACACCTTACTTAATGTGCATTTCGCCTGCAAAATACACAGTCAATTGACTTTACTGTACAGTCTGTGAAGAGATTTGAGATGTCTTGAAGAAATAATAAGGTGCTATTTAAAATGCAAGGAATATTATTATTATTATTAATGTCACAATCAGTAAGATTGCTTTTAAAAACAGCATGTTTTTCCCTTTCTTATGTAGAGACTTTTCAGGGCTATGTTGACATGTTGTTATCAATGGGATGCAAGCTTCGCTGTTCAATACCGTCTTAATCCTTGCATTTTGA